TCTGCGTCGTTCACAGGTGTAGATTTTCACACACCCCTTAGTAATGTAGTTATACCACGGCAATGCAAAGCCCAGAGGGAAACTGAGGCACACACAGGAATCATAAAAATATTACCAAAGCCCCCACATTCATCATATTATGGAAGTTATGTACAGAAGAGCATGCCCTTTCCCTAACACCACAGTAAACCCTACTTAGACAGTGTACGACAGATGGCATGTAAGAGTACAGAGTAAGAGTAAAAAATTGCTGGCCTATATAGACCGCCAAAATTCACACCTCACTGAGCTTCATAGTTAGCTGTCCTGTACCCTGAATTACCCCTAAGGAAGGCTGCACAGTTGGGTGAAAGGAAAATATATAATGGATAGATTCTATTAAAATGAGTGAACTACACCCCAAAGGGAGCAGAGAAGTTGCATAAAAAGCGAAAGGCAAACATTTTCAGACTTAAGACTCATCGTTTGTAAAGCCACTCCGTGCTTAAACCTAAGAGTCGGTTTGCTTTTTACCCTTTTGCTGAATAGATTTTGGGAGGAACTTTATTTTCCAGCCCAGAGGCTTGCATCACCTGGCTCTATGCAGCCTAGTTGAGGTGTGTGCCTTGATACAGTCCTTAATTTCACCCCTTATTTTATTTGCATGCCTAACTGCTTTTCCCCCTCTGACATTGTGTTCACTCTTCCAGGCTGGCATTACTTTTTAAAGCTTTATTTAACTTATTTTGCAACTTTCTACCGCCTTCCTCTCCTCTTTCCTCCTCCACCTACCCTTTAAAACCAGAGCACAGGAATCCCTTATCCAAGGCTGGTTTCAGAGTAGCAGCCGTGTTAGTCTGTATTCGCAAAAAGAAAAGGAGTACAAGTGGCACCTTAGAGACTAACCAATTTATTTGAGCATAAGCTTTCGTGAGCTACAGCTCACTTCATCAGTTGCACTCCTTTTCTTTTTATCCAAGGCTAGGTCTCTAACAGGGGCCTTTTGTCTTCTGTGGGGATTTTTAGCAAATGACAGCTCGTTCTTGTCATAAGGGGCTCCCCTTGACTCCCTACAAAGTCCCAGGATAAAGTAATTTTAGCCAAATTGGCTCAATTTAAAGTTAAAAATTAAAAATAAAGGGTTAAGGAATCATTTATTCACCCATTCTGTGCGCATACTCCTACCTACAGCATCCTGCCACCCAAGCCATGTGTTGATCACATGACAGGAAGTAGGAGACAGGCTGGTGGCAAGTATAGTGGTACTTGAAAATAGCCAGATGAAAACAAAGAACTTGAAAACAAAATTATTTCAACTTGACAGAAACATTGTGGTTGACTCAAAACTAAATGAAAAACCAAACCAAAGATTTCTAGTCGATCAAAATGTTTTGGAAGATTTGAAACAAAATGTGTTTGAGTTTCTCAGTTTCATTAAAACCAAAAAATCCATTATGCGCTCACCTCTGCTCTCTGCTACTGTTTTATTCTACTAATAAATGAAATAGTGATAGGAAGGGAAAAGTGCTAACAGGAGGATCTGAAGTTTATACCTTTTTGGATAAAATCTGACAGAGCTTTTCTCACCAGCTGAACGTACTTTTATAGACTACCATGAAGTCATGGGAATGTTGAGAGAGATTATTATTTCAATGAAATAACAATTTTTGAAGCACAAATACCTGAAAGAAGGATTCCCCACAGCCTGTGGGGAATTCACTAAGATTAGCAAAGATTTTGAAGGTGCCAATCCCTAAAAGACCTACAGGGATAATTTCAGGAGGCTTCACATAACTTAAAAGGAAGAGGGTTCTGTAGAAAAGTTCTTAGAAATGTACACAGTCCAAGTTTTTTTAAAAACCTGCCATATCTGATGGAGCAAACATGTCTCAGTCCTTGGGCAGATCTAATAATCACTGTGGAATTTGAGGGGAGCCCAAGGGGGAGCAGTAATGAGGTTAGATTTTAAAATGAAGATTTGATGGGCTATTCCTACCCACCCCCACTTTTCAGCTCTCCCTGTGATGTCCTTAACTGCACATAGAAGACCATGGCCTGGTCTATACTACAAAGTTAGGTTGACATAACTCCATCTCCCTCCCTCCATTTCATTATGATTCACCCCTTCCCTTCATTGCAATGTCACCTCCAGAGAGACAAGGGGGAACCTAAAACTGTGACCATTTCATGGTTCCCTGAAACTGCTCTTTCCTGGGCATTAAAAATAGGTGAGCAGATTCCAAAGAGCTGTGAGACTTCTGACACCCAGGATTGAGCATCACTTTTCCTGCTCTTCCCCAGCATTTTCTCTCTCACGCACATGGAGGCTCTGCCTCAGGAGCTGATGTCAGCTGAGCCCAGAGCTGCCTTTGTGGGCTAGTTCCAGCCACCGGAGAAAGTGCCCCACTCTGGTAGGCACAGAGGCAGATTTAATGAAGGTCTGTCCATGGCCCAGATCCCACTTGGGAAGCTGCAGGTCCAACTTCTGGATGTTGTTGCTATTGCTGCTACTCTCTGCATGTGACCCAGAAGCTCAGCTGATACTGGAGTGGAGGGAACAAGACACGCCCCCTCCATAGCAATTACCAGAGCCACTAGTGCTTGGAGCTAATTAAGCCCCCTCCAAACCTCACTGTATTCAGATACAGAGTTGTGTGATGGCCAAATTGAAAAAAATTTGGTTAGTTTCAGACTGAAAGTGACTTTTCCCTCACAAAAAACAAACAAAAACAGGTTGAAATAAAATGTGGATTCAAAATATTGACATTGCTGAAGTTTTTGTTTTGTTTTCAGCCAGACTGTTTCCAAAATCAACTTGAATTCTTAAGTAGTTTCAATACCCCCCAAAACACATTTTCGGTCAATTTACTATTCACTGCAAAAAATAAAAAATTCACTCAGCTCCAACCCAGCTACCCTAAAGCAAAGCAATCCACTTTTGAAAACTTGTGCATCAGACATAAACAGATACAAGCATCTCCTAAAGTTGAGGTATGACCAACTTCCAGATGAAATTTCTGTGGGGCAGCAGAAGAAAGAGAGACTTCAGCTTGGAATCGCTAAAGGCCAAATCCTGAGATCAAGGGACCTTTGCTGAGAAGAAAAGGAGTACTTGTGGCACCTTAGAGACTAACCAATTTATTTGAGCATGAGCTTTCGTGAGCTACAGCTCACTTCGACTGTAGCTCACGAAAGCTCATGCTCAAATAAATTGGTTAGTCTCTAAGGTGCCACAAGTATTCCTTTTCTTTTTGCGAATACAGACTAACATGGCTGTTACTCTGAAACCTGTCATTTTGCTGAGAAGGGAATTCAAAATTTACATCTCAATAGGCCACTTCAATCTTGAGTGGTATCCCCTCTTCTCCATGCCTAATCATTTTTAAATTGCATATCAGGGCAGGGGACATGCTCTGGCAATGAGATCTGGGGAACAGTCTCCCCAGTGGAAAGAGTGGGAAGCCCGGGTTTTAGCACAGACAGTCAGTTGAAGGTTTTGGAACTAATGTGTAGTCACAAGCGACCTGATTTTTGGAGAGGGTGAGGGATGGGTGGTGTTTCAAGTCGCAATTTTCCAACCCAGCAACACTAGTACAAGCCAGGTGCCCCATCCTCATGCACAATATCCACAGGCGTTGATAAGCACATTTTAAATGTTTTATTTGCAGTCATAAGGGCTGGACATTTTTTTCTTTAAAAACCTGATTATTTATTTGTTTCACCACAGTGCATAGGAGCAGCTCTATATTTAGGTTCTGGAACAAAATTCTGCAGCAAGGGGTGGGAGTGGGGTGGATTCGGCTGTTAATGCCACAGCCACAAAATTGCAGACAACCTGCAGAACACCCCCGCTTTGCTGAGGGAAACAGAAAGGATGGGAGCAAATGGACATTTTCCACTTCTAACTTTGCTTATTTTATTATACTCCATTTCAAATTAAGTAAACTGGGAATTTATAATCCAGGAACTGCAATTTCAATGTAGATACCCTGTCAGTACTGCTAACTCATACAAGGAGCAGATTAATTCCTCAGTTGATTCTCTTGTGATGTAGTTTTATACTGAACCCAGGTATTTTACACTCTACCTAAATTAATAATTATTTACACCTGCCTTATGCTGGGATTAACTCTTTGATACTTGCTCCTAGAAGAATAAATGACATTGAAAATAAAGCGAGTCGTGACAGGAGAAATACAGCACATGTGATAACTCAGATTCTAACTGGGGCAGGTATAAGGAATTCAGCCATGGAGCTATCTTAGTCATAGGATTTTTTAATGGGTATATGTCAGGGGTAGCCAAACCACAGCTCGTGAGCCACATGCAGCTCTTCTACAATTAAAGTGCAGCCCATGGAGCCCCCGACACCCTCCTATTCTCTGCCTACCAGATTGGAGGCAGGGAGAGCTTAGGCCTTCTGCGCTGTAGTGGGGAGAGGGCTTCTGCCCTTCAGCCAGGTGGTAGGGCTAGGGGTTTCGGCCTCACAGGGCACGCTGGCCAGGGCTCGGAGCTTCAGCAGAAGCACAGGTGCGCTGCATCTCTCAAACTACTGAAGATTGTCGTATACAGCTCAGAGGGTCAGTAAGTTTGGCTACCCTGGCATATGTATATGTCAGAGCTATTATAGTGTAATGCATTAAGAATGAAACTAAATGGGCAATAGTAACGTATTGATAGTTCTGTGAGGGTGACTATATCAAAAAGCAGACCTCTGATGTAATTACAGTCACTAGAGCCTTGGGCAGATACAAAATTTGTATCTGTATCCGATCTGTGGTCTGCAAACATGATCTGCAGTCTGCAAACATGATCTGCAGATATCAAGCAGATACCAAGTGGATATCCGCAGATTTTCAGGGCTCTGGGTATAAAATTTGGATCCGTATCTATCCGCAAGCATGGTCGATATTCATGGATGCAGATATACGCAGATTTGCAGTGCTAGGACAGTGTTATCAACAGACTTTCCCACAGGCCCCAATCTCACCCCATTTTCACTTGTGTTGTAAGACTCAGAGTTTAGGAAACTCAGTTACACTTTATTCCTCTGCATTTCAAGTAAGAAAAAACCACATCATCCCAATTCTGTCTCACATGTCCAGTTCAGGACATTGCAAACCCAAACCACTCCACCAGTGCTCCTGAATGTATCAGTTTTCTTAACTAGAATACGGTTAAGAATAAATCAGAAACTGCAGCAAACAAAAGAAAGATGGTTCTAGATAAAAAGGAAAAGCAAAATAAGAAAGGTAAATGTAAGAGCTTAACAGAGAATATTCAGTTTGCTGAAAGTAATAGTCAAATCCAGTTAATTCAATACAATAATCAACCTGATCGCTATGAGTGAATCTTCTGTTCAGGGAAGCTGAGTTAGTTACCAGTTTTAATAACTCCCCCTATGGTCTAGGAGGTCAGACTTCAAAGATTTGACATCTATATAGCCAGGTTTGGGAGTTTTGCATTAAATCACTCCCTACAGGCTTGAAGAACGCATGAAAACACATGCCTGCATCGATACAAAGTACTATGAACATTCTGCAGATTCATGTGCATGATCTCTCTCAGTATAATGGTCTTTGAAGATATGCCTATGTTCATCATCTGTGTCACAACTCCCAAGCAACTGTGCCCTCCAGAACCATCCTCTCTGGTTCCCATCCTCCCTGCTGCTATCTCTTGACCCCAGGCATACATTGGAGCCAAAGCCCAGATTCTCAAAAGCTATTTATGCTCCTGACGTCTATTGATTTCAACAGAAATTAGGAGCCTCACTACCTTTGAGGAACCGGGTCCAAACACAGCCATCGTTAATGGGAAAAGGCCAGGGTATTATTCACCATGGCTAGGTTGGAGCCAGGCTTTTTTTATACAGAGTTTTCCTCTGGTGTGAGTTCTCTGATGTCGAACAAGGTTTGAACTCCGGGTCATGCTCTTCCCACAGTGGGAGCACTGATAGAGTTTCTCTCCTGTGTGGGTTCTCTGGTGGGCAATAAGGTTTGAGCTCCGACTGAATCCTTTCCCGCACTCGGGACATTTATAGGGCTTCTCTCCTGTGTGGATTCTCTGATGTGTAATAAGGTCTGAGCTCTGACAGAAGCTTTTCCCACAGTCCAGGCACTTGTAGGGTTTCTCTCCCTTGTGGAACCTCTGATGTCTAATGAGGTGCGACATCTGACTGAAGCTTTTCTCACAGTCGGGGCATTGGTAAGGTGCCTCTCCAGTGTGGGATCGATGATGTGCAACAAGGTGTGAGATTCTATTGAGGCTTTTCCCACACTCAGAGCATGTGTAGGATTTCTCCCCTGTATGGGTTCTCTGGTGTGTAATAAGGTCTGAGCTCTGACAGAAGCTTTTCCCACACTCCAGACACTTATAAGGCTTCTCTCCTGTGTGGAACCTTTGATGTCTAACAAGGTGAGACATTTGACTGAAGCTTTTCTCACAGTCCGGGCATTTGTAAGGCATCTCTCTACTGTTCACAGTAAGGTGTGAAACCCCCCGGAGGCTTTTCCCAGAGTCGGGACACTTATATGGCTTCTGGCCCGTGTGCGATTTCAGATGATTAATAAGCTGTGAGTTGCGACGGAAGTTTTTCTTGCAGTCGGGGCATTTATAGGGCTTCTCACCAGTGTGGATTCTCTCATGTGTAGTAAGGTGGGATCTCTGACTAAAACTTTTCCCACAGTCCAGACATTTATAGGGTTTTTCTCCTGTATGGATTCTCTCATGGGCAGTAAGGTGTGATCTCCAACTAAAGGCTTTCCCACATTCAGCACACCCGTAGGATCTCTCCCCCATGTGGGCTCTGAGCTGGCTCGTGGTTTCATTAAGAACATTGAAACCTCCCTGGTAGGCACTAGATTTTTCCTCTCTCTCCCCTTTGTGGTTTCCCTCCTCCCTCTCTGATATGTGCTGACTCTGCTCAGGACTCTGGGAAACATTTCCTTTGGCTCTTTCTGAAAATGTCCCATTTTGGTCCACTTGCTCAGGATCTTCTGGAGGAGAACCTGTAAGATAATAGGGCAATAAGTAGTAGCCAACACGGGATTTGTCAAGAACAAATCATGCCAAAACAACCTAATTTTTTTTTTGGACAGGGTTACTGGCCTTGTGAATAGGGGGAAAGCAGTAGATGTGATATATCTTGATTTTAGTAAGGCTTTTGACACAGTTCCACGTGATATTTTCATAAGCAAACTAGGGAAATGTGGTCTAGATGAAATTTCTATAAGGTGGGTGCATAATTGATTGAAAGATCATATTCAAAGGAGTAGTTATCAATGGCTCACTGTCAAACTGGGGGATGTATCTAGTGGAGTCCTGCATGGATCTGTCCTGGGTGCAGTACTATTCAACATTTTCATTAATGACTTGGATAATGGAATGGAAAGTATGCTTATAAAATTTAGGGATGACACCAAGCTGGGTGGGAGTGGGGGCATGTACTTTTCAGGACAGGTTTAGAATTCAAAATTACCTTAATGAATTGGTCTCAAATCAGCTAGATGAAATTCAGTAAAGACGGGAGTGGAGGGAAATAATCAAATGCACAGATACAAAAATGGGGAATAACTGACTTCAGCGGTACTGCTGCCTAGAGGATCTGGGTGTTATAAGGGAATCACAAATTCAGTACGACCCAGCAATGTCATGCAGTTGCAAAAAAAAAAAAAAAAAGCTAAAATCATTTTGGGGTATATTAACAGGAGTGTCCTAAGACAGACACAGCAAGTAATTGAGCACTGGTAAGGCCTCAGTTGGAGTGTTATGTCCAGTTATTAGGTGCCTCACTTTAAGAAAGATGGCATGGACATAAAAATGCAAATAGGCTTGGAATCGCAGTAACTGTTTGGGCACCTAAAAATTAAATGCCGAGACGCTGAACATCATAATGCCTGACTTACGTGCCTAAGCTCCGAAACAATTCATGGGGAGAGACAGGTGCCTTAGACTGCAGTTGACAAAACCCAGCATGGTAGGTAGGGAGCTAGCTATGCTACCCAAAGTGTGAAGCCTCACCCCTCTCACAGAGATAGGCACCTAAGTCCAGGTTGCAGAGCAGTGCCGGGAACCATCTTTGCAGTTGGGTTCCTATGCCATTTTTGCAAGAGGCAGGTGGAGGGGTGGGAGGAGCTCCTCATAACTTTTAGCCCAGGTTCCAGTCCCCCTGCTCCAAGTGACTTTTTAAATTATTTATCCACGGTGCAACAGCTTCCACAAGAGTGAGGGACTATCACATAGCTCAGTGGTTAGAGCACTCACCTGAGATCTCCTTGCAAATCCCTTCTCTGCTTCAGATGGAAGGGGCCTTGAACCGGGTCTTTCCTATGTCCCAAGTGAATACCCTAAGGCTAAGTACACTGGACTAAGATTTTTAGTGAGGTTCTCCTCTCCCCCACCACTGACTGTTTTGTGTAAAGTTGCCTGAGGGGCCTGATCCGGTAGGCGGCCTCTGAGCACGATGACTGGCTCAACACCTGCACACAACTGAGGCAGCTCCATGCCAGTCTTTCCCTGGTTTGTAAGTCACTCTGGGGCTTAGGTGGGAAATAAGTATCCAGATTCTTAGAGGGAGGCAGCAGTGTGCACACCCAGAGGAAGAAACGTAGGTGCGTAAGGAACTTTGCCTGCCAAACGTAGGCACTGAGTGAGTGCGCGGGAGTTTGGTGCATCGCAGTGGAGCGTAATATAAGAATTTAGGTGCCTAAACTCTTTTGGGGTATCCAGGCAGACATGGGCAAATTGGAGAGTCAAGAGGGGAAACACAAAAATGATCAAAGGTTTTAAAAAAAAACTTGCCCTGCGAGGAAAGGTTGAAGAGAAAGAGGAAAAACTTGGAGATGGGCCCTGTTAACAGTCGTTAAATACGTTAAGGGCTGTTATAAAGCGGGCCACCTGCTTCGAGCCAGCAGCCTTATAAAAAGGCAGCCAGTTGCAAACTGAGTGAGCAGCGAACAGAGGACAGGCAAAACAGAGGGAGTTTGCCTGCGGGGAGTTCGTTCAGTGTTTTTTGCCTTTCAGGCTCCTGTGAGCAACATCTGAGGAGCCTCTCCGAAGGAAGACATGGAAAGTGAACGGTCAGCTGATGTGACCTGCTCAGAATGTGCCATGTTTGTCTTTCTCCCAGAGGACAGAAGTGACTTCGCCTGTATGAAGTGCAAGCTGGTCTGCATACTGGAAGAGAAGGTTAAAGGACTAGAGAACCAAGTATCAACCCTGTGTTGCATCAGAAAAAAATGAAGGTTTTCTGGATAGAAGTCAGTGTTTAGTTCTGGAAGTACACCATGATGAAGAATCAGAGAGGGCAGTGCAGAACGGGGAAGAATATTGGCAGCGTGTGACCTCCAGAGGAAGAAAGAGGAGAAGCTGTGAACCCCCAATACACAGATAGAGATGTGAAACCGTTTTCAGGCTCTCTGCACAGGTACTACTGCGGAGAAGGATTTGGAAGAGCCCTCTGGGGGAAGGAATCAGAAGGAGACCCCATCGGCCGGAAGGCATGGGATGCATTGTCCTAGGGATGGGGGGGGTTCCATGATCACCACTCCCAAGAGGAGGAGATGAGTAGTGGTGGTCAAGGACTCCCTCCTAAGAGGAACGGAGTCATCCATCTGCCGACCAGACCAGGAGACTCGAGAAGTATGCTGCTTGCCTGGAGCTAGAATCCAGGATGTGACGGAGCGTTTGTCAAGACTGAACAAGACCTCGGACAGCTACCCCTTCCTACTTCTCCACGTGGGCACCAATGATACTGCCAAGAATGACCTTGAGTGGATCACTGCAGACTACGTGGCTCTGGGAAGAAGGATAAAGGAGTTTGAGGTGCAAGTCGTGTTCTCATCCATCCTCCCTGTTGAAGGAAAAGGCCCAGGTAGGGACTGTCGAATTGTGGAGGTGAATGCATGGTTACACAGGTGGTGTCAGAAAGAGGGCTTTGGATTCTTCAACCAAGGGGTGCTGTTTCAGGAAGGATTGCTAGGAAGAGATTTGCTAACCTAGTGAGGAGGGCTTTAAACTAGGTTTGCCGGGGGATGGTGACCTAAGCCCAGAGGTAACTGGAAGAGTGGGATACTGGGAGGAAACACAAGGGAGGAGGGTACAAGATGGGAAGCCTCCTCATTCATACTGAGGAAGTAGGGTAATTGGCTAGTTATCTTAGGTGCATGTACACGAACGCAAGAAGCCTGGGAAACAAGCAGGAAGAACTGGAAGTCCTGGCACAATCAAGGAACTATGATGTGTTTGGAATAACAGAAACTTGGTGGGGCAGTTCACATGACTGGAGCACTGTCATGGATGGGTATAAACTGTTCAGGAAGGACAGGTAGGGGAGGAAAGGTGGAGGAGTTGCACTGAGTCAACAGTGTGCCCTTGTTGCCAAGAAGGCCAATGGCATTTTGGGATGTATAAGTAGGGGCATTGCCAGCAGATCGAGGGACGTGATCGTTCCCCTCTATTCGACATTGGTGAGGCCTCATCTGGAGTACTGTGTCCAGTTTTGGGCCCCACACTACAAGAAGGATGTGGAAAAATTGGAAAACGTCCAGCGGAGGGCAACAAAAATGATTAGGGGACTGGAACACATGAGTTATGAGGAGAGGCTGAGGGAACTGGGGATGTTTAGTCTACGGAAGAGAAGAATGAGGGGGGATTTGATAGCTGCTTTCAACTACCTGAAAGGGGGTTCCAAAGAGGATGGATCTAGACTGTTCTCAGTGGTAGCAGATGACAGAACAAGGAGTAATGGTCTCAAGTTGCAGTGGGGGAAGTTTAGGTTGGATATTAGGAAAAACTTTTTTACTATGAGGGTGGTGAAACACTGGAATGAGTTACCTAGGTAGGTGGTGGAATCTCTTTCCTTAGAAGTTTTTAAGGTCAGGCTTGACAAAGCCCTGGCTGGGATGATTTAATTGGGGATCGGTCCTGCTTTGAGCAGGGGGTTGGACTAGATGACCTCCTGAAGTCCCTTCCAACTCTGATATTCTATGATTGTATGTAAGACAGCGGTATGATTGCTCAGAGCTCCAGTTTGAAACTGGAGAAAAGCCTGTTGAGAGTCTCTGGGTTAAGTTTAGAGGCGAGAGCAACAAGGGTGATGTTGTGGTGGGTGTGTGCTATAGACAAGCGGATCAGAAAGATGACATAGATGAGGCTTTCTTTGGACAACTAACTAAAGTTTCCAGATCACAGGCCCTGGTTCTAATGAGGGACTTCAATCACCCCGACATCTGCCGGGAGAGCAATATAGCAATGCATAGACAATCCAGAAAGTTTTTGGAGAGTGTTGGGGACAACTTCCTGGTACAAGTGCTGGAGGAACAGACTAGGGACTGTGCTCCTCTTGACCTGCTGCTTACAAACAGGGAAGAATTGGTAGGGGAAGTAGAAGTGGGTGGCAACCTAGGCAGCAGTGACCATGAGATGGCTGAGTTCAGGATCCTGACAAAAAGGAAGAAAGGAGAGTAGCAAAAT